GCCTGCACCAAATAAGGAACTGAACCAGGGGTATGTTTTTACCTCCACAGCCGCCTCCTTCCATCAGAGCACCTTGTTGAACTTAATGTCTGTCACACAAATCATTGGCATGCTTTCTCCCCAGCATGTAATTAAAAAGCTGGGGGAAAAGAATATACAGTTTCAATACTGTCAGAAAACAAGATTTAACAAATTTGGTATTAACTTGTCAATACAGGAATGTGATTAATGAATACTATTTCTAGATTTACCAAAAATTTTGGCCCCCTTTATTGATAAGTTAATGACATCTATATATTTGCTGGAGAATGTAAATTTAAAATTTAATAACAAGGAGAAATAAAAAATGATTTGGAGATATCACATCAAAAAAAAAAAAAGACCAACAGTAGAATTTAGTAGTTTGTTGTATGTAGATGGACGCCTCAGAGGCATCCCGTATTTCTGAATGTGTGACGATAATTGACTTGGTCATGCTAATGTCTATACTTGTGCATCTTATGACATTAAGTGGTTTGCTGCTTTGATGGAAATTATGGTTCAGTGGGTTGGATACAAGAGAGATGACTGTTCACAGAATAACCTGTGAACTTTCACCCTCTGTATGGAAACTTGTTTCAGGGCCCAATCCTTGTAGCTGTCTTCTTGCCCCGGTCAGTGCCAGCCCTACTATTCACAACACTGCTGCTACCGAGGCCTAGGTATGTAAACGCTTAAGGAGTTTTTTAAACGTCTTTTAACATCAAGCTAGGTTTTAAAGGAATTCAAATTCAGTTTGGTATAATAACAGGTTATTTTATGTGATTGTCTTCCATTTCTTACTGTGTAAATTGATTATAGTTATTCTTTTGCTTCATAGGATTTTTCTATGTAAAATATTTATACTTGCTCCATGGGAGAATGGGGAAATAAAATGGGTGATAACAGTCTGCTTCTTCAGTGTCCGAACTACTTCTAAAATGACTTCTGGGCTTTATTTATTAACTAGGTGCACCTGGGACAATTAATGACTGTTTTAACATTGCCTTCTTTTTATTTTGCAAGCTAAGAAGAGATACCAGTGAACGTAAATAGTGGACGAAAACAGGAGTGTTCTAATTTTTTTTTTGGAGGGGGCTCGAGGGCCACTGTTTTAAAACTGCCATTTATATGCCTTACGTGACTTTCAAAATACTATTATGTTAATGTGGAAAAAATTAGAACATGCACACTACAGTATGTATAAGAAGCATTTAAATGTAACAGCTATAACAGATCTAGAAGTAAAATCAGATTTCTTTTTTAAAAAGTGACACTGAGTTGATGGTCACATTCTAACTGTAAAATTGGGACATTTTACCTTTCTTCTTTGGACAGGATCAGTTCTTAAGAGCAGCCCCAGTAACTGGAGGAATGGGAGCCGTTTTGATGAGAAAAATGGGCTGGAGAGAAGGAGAAGGATTAGGAAAAAACAAAGAAGGAAATAAGGAGCCTATCCTCGTTGATTTTAAGACTGACAGAAAAGGTAACAAGTGTTTTGGGGAAAGTTTATTATACCCCCTTTCACATTCCAGCTTTCATTGTCTACATGCTTTTGATGTCTGTGATCCTGACCTGCAGGCTCTTCTGCTTATACAGCTGTGTTGTTGGGGGGGCGGGGGAGGGGGTTTAACCCATTTCCAACAATTTATATAATTATAGGAGGAAACACTAATTTTAGCTTTAAAAAGGGAACCTGTGTTAGTTGCTAAAAATTATGGAACTTTGAATATATCTATGATTAAAATTTTAACTAGATTTTATATTTATAAAGCAGCCATTTTGTTTTGACAGGGAATATAGTATCTTTATTTCTAGAATATTTTTTCTTAGATATTTTATCCCACATATTCTTTTTATTTCCTATTAAAGTGCTGTTTAGTCTCCGCCTTATAAACCCTCTTTTCAAGCTCAGTAATTCAGTTCTTTGGGGTTGGGGAATAGCAGATCAGCTGCCTACAATAGTGCTACTTTTTCATAATGCCCTGAGTTTGGGGCACCTAAGTATAATCCATGGGAATGCCAACTCAGTGTGATGACTGAAGCTTATTTGTCTGATTTTTAAAACTCAAACGTATTTTCCTTATCTTTGTATTCAAAGAGATTTCATTGAAATTAATGCAATTACATTATTCTTTAATGACCATGGAAACTGAATAGCTCCAACTAAATTTTTTTTATTGTTTTGCATCAGATTTTCTACATTGCCATCCATGTAGAATACCGTGTTGCCATTTTATTTCCAACTGGTGGGAGTGTATTGTAATAATGATACTCAAAAATAGCATGGAAATAACATGGCAGTCTTCCTGTGATGAGCATTAATTCAAGCTTTAAATTAGGAAAGGGCATTTTGCTAGTTATGTCACATTGACATTTTATTGCTTGTGCAAGCTGAATAGATGATCTGTCACAAAAAGGTGGTTTATTGGAAGAAAACATGTTGGATGCATTGTGTAATTCCAGGGAGCATTCTCTGGAATTGTATGTGGGTTGGGTTTGGGAAAACATTGGTTTTGCATAGTAACATAGCTAAGCTACCTGGGAAAGGGAGGTTATGAAGTTGTGTGTTTGTCTTTTGAGAACACCTAACATTAGATAAGTCAGAAAGGGCTTTGTTGGTGGGGGTGGGGGTGTATTGGGTTTCTCACTTTACTTGTGTGTGACCCAAAATCCTCATCTTTTGAGGAACATATCTTTTACTGAGCATCATCTTTTAAAGAATGGGCAACCTTTAGAAATCAGTTGGAATAAATAGCCACTACTTTTTAAACTTACAAAGCAACAGGCCTGGAGTTGTTAATGATGGCACTTAATTATATGTATTCACATACTAAATGCTTGTTTTCTGAACATTTTATATAATTTCCAGTACCAGGGTGTATGAATAGGTATATTTATATGTTGAAACACAGCAAAATAGAAGTCCAGATTGATCTAGAAACAAGGGTAAGGGGAATGTGTTGAAGATTTCCTTTGAAGTAGATTTCACTAACATTGATTTTTTTTTTAAAGGTCTTGTGGCTGTCGGAGAAAGAGCACAGAAGAGGTCTGGGAACTTCTCTGCCGCAATGAAAGATCTGTCAGGTGAGGGCACGGGGATTCTCCTCACCCATCCCCACTTCCAGTTCATAATTGGTTGTCACAGATGGTGGAGATAATTAATAACTGGTTATTTTTTGCTCTGCAGGCAAACATCCTGTGTCTGCCTTGATGGAAATCTGTAATAAGAGAAGGTGGCAACCACCTGAATTTCTCTTGATCCACGATAGTGGCCCTGATCATCGCAAGCATTTTCTCTTTAGGGTAAATATGAATTTCTGCATTAATTTTATACATTTATTAATTTGATGACAATGTTAGCGGGTGAGGGATAAGTATATGATCATAGGATTGATATATTATTGGTGGGCTGGGAGTGTGTATATGTATAGGTAGAGAGGAGGGGTTTTTAAACACACCAATATGCCTCTTAATATGACTTTTAAAAACCTTATTTTAAAAATATGTTGGAAGGGAAAGTTTTGGGCAAAATCTTGTGAACTGTTTGTTGCCATATTCTAGAAGGAAATGGGGAATTAGAACTATCAGGCTTTTTTTAATTTGGAGACCTGCTTTTAATTTGCTGTCTCTTTTCCCAAATTATTTGCTTCTCCTGGGTTGAGGTTAACTTGACTTACATAGTATGGGTTTTATGTTTTAAATTAGTTTTCTAGCATTTAGTGAAAAAATAAAGCTAATAGATATTAAAGTTTGATGCTGTTCTTATTGTATGTTTTTCTTGAATAGGTATTGAGAAATGGAAGCCCTTACCAGCCCAATTGTATGTTTTTCTTGAATAGGTATTGATAAATGGAAGCGCTTACCAGCCCAGCTTTGCCAGCCCTAATAAGAAGCATGCTAAAGCCACAGCAGCTACTGTGGTTCTTCAAGCAATGGGCCTTTTACCAAAGGACCTCATGGCTAATGCCACTTGCTTCAGGAGTGCCTCACGTAGATAGATTGAGGTTTTATATTAATCATTTCAGATAATTTTACTCTGCATCAAAATGTATTTCCTCTTTAATGTTGTAAATATTTGGCAATTTAAAACATTGTGTAAAAAGCAATCTGTACAAACATCTCCCGGCTTTGATTTTTGTACCATGGAAATTGTATTTAACCATACAGGGTTTTGGTATGTTTATATTGTTTACCTTAGTGATGTATTTGTTTAAGTGGCTAACATCCAAACGATTGTTTGAAGGCATCCGTAATCTTCAGTGTGGAATGTTAAATTACGCTTTTATACTGTATTTTGTACTATGATGTAACTCCCCTTCCTTATGGCTAGGCTGCTGTAACACTTGCCTGTAATCAGTGAAGGGCTGTGCACCTTGTACTAGTTCACAATGAATTCTGCTGGACAGATACTGGGGCCAGTGTTATTGAGGTAATCAAGCAAGATCTGTTCCACAGGGCTGAAGCCACCATCTCCCCTTAAAATTTTGTAGAAGTTATAAAAAGAAGTGGTATGTTGTGTGATGATCAGCACTAAGTCCTATGTTCCCGTCAAAGCCACTTGGGCCATGAGAAGGGAGTGAAAATGAAGTCCGACTAGAATTCTACTGCAGAGGCCAAGTACATTTAGTATGGCATTGAGTTGTGATATAGTTTTACTTTGATGTGCATTTTGAATTTCAGCTACACCTAGATAGACGTAAAATGATAATTAAAATGCTGTAACCAACTTATCTAATAAAATTGGCACCCAGCCACTATTTTGTTGACTGAGAGAGTTTAAGTTTATGTTAATTTTTAGGGTCTAATAGAATATTTCATGTGTATTACAGTGGTATTCATATGCTGTCTCTATACTTTATTTTAAAAAGCTTAAGGCCCAAAATATAAACTTCTCTGGAATAAATGTGGTGTTTTATTTTCTGGAATATAAAGTGAACACATACTTCTTCACTAAATACTACTGTTTCTTTACCCAATGCTTATGATTTCTAAGCACTTTTATTTAAAAAAATTTGAACTAGACACACACACACTAAATACTACTTTGCCATGATGGATGAGCATACTTTAAACTCTTAAATACACTGTTCTATATGGAATACAAAATACCCTTACCTGAATTAACATGCATATGCATTAAAAATATATGTGTGTGTATACATCTATCTATTTGAGAGAACTGTAAAGAAAGCAACTAAGACGCATCAACAATCAACTCAGTAGATATTGTATAAATTTGGTTTCAACCTTTACAAGCTAGAACCTGCTCATAATCCTTGGTAAATGGTTAGTTTTGCCCAGATGTCATTAATTGATACTAATTTAGCCTCAATTTCCCATTTGAAAGGAAGCACTGACATTGATTCAATTTTCTATTCAGTTTATCATTAAGTTATAGGGATCTAGTTCTCATTCAAGTTACTTGAGTTTTTCATATCTGAATATCTTATCAAAAAATAGTGAAACTGGAGAATGTTGATCTAAAATCTTAACACATGCATATAATAAATATTAACGGTTAATGTTTATAAACATTTGAATATTCCCTTAACTTCCAAAATGAAATTTAAAGCCAAGGGTATAAAAATCTTGAATTTCCTTGCCAGAGGCTTTTTTCCTCAAAGATTCCTTTTAGGCTTACTTTGGCGTTCAGGCTCTCCAATTATAAAGGTAGTCACTCATCTCCACATTCCGTAAGGATGATTTCCCCAGTACTGGTGTTTGGCTAAGTTGGTCCAGAGTCTTAGGGTGCAACCCACAGTTAGCAAGCTCCTCACGAACAGTCTCCTGTGGGAATTGGTACCGGTCAGTGAAAGCACACCAGCCTTTTTGAACACTCAGTTTTTAATAGTTACCATGGGAACTTGGACACCAATGCCTTCATACTATTCATTCTCAACAGAAGTTGACTTAAAGAATTTTTGCATAGTTTTAATTATAACTTCTAAATAAAACCTAAAAACGTCAAAAATTAAAGGCCATTTGTTAAATCCTCATGCTAAGTTGCCATTTTTTTGGTGGGGATAGTATTTAAGTCACTAAGTACAACAGCTTGAAATCATAAAACTTACCTCACAATAACAACTTACATAGACACATCCCTTACTCTCAGAAATTATCATTGAAAATTAGTAAATACAGTTAACTTGAAATAGTTTGGCTCATAACTTCCTTCACCTACTTTGAGGAAACTAAGTCTGTTTACAGCTCTCCACTCACCTTTCCCAGTACTTTATCCACTGGTGGGCAGATGTTGAACACAGCGGTTGGCTCATGTGTATACAGTCCTGCAGAAAATGACCCCCTCTGTGAAGATCCGAGTAGCATGGTCATAGCATGTAGAGAATGAGGCATGACAGGACCTGTGATCTCCAAGCTGAATTGATCTTTGTATCCAGAAACAACCTGTGTCTTCACATTTACACTTCGTGCCTTACAAAAAATTGAAGGGGAAAAAATTATGGTCATCTCTCAAGCCTTTGTCCCTAGCTAAAAACGTGTTCACTAACTTTTCATTAGGATTTTCCTCTAAGTTATGGAACAAAAGTAGTTCTTAAGACATGAAGAGTGTATAAGAATAAAAATGTTTAGTAAATTCTGTCTCCAGTATCCTTTACTCCAAATGATGAGATTATCAGTTTAAGTAGATAAAATTTTCTCATATGGTATTCACTCTGATTTAGTAATACACTTTCAATACAGGATATTGGTAAAACAAATTGATTCTACAGCTACTAACATTCAGTATATATTTGTTCATATGTATAATTTTCAACAATATGGATATACAGGCACCCCTTGCCGACACTGTGGGTTTGGTTCCAGACCACTGCAATAAAGGGCGGACACGTGGAAGCGGGCTGTACACTCTGTGCTGGTGCAGGGTCTTGCTTTCAATGTGTAAAAAACGCAACATCTGTGAAGTGCAATGAGGTCTACCTATTCAGTTATTCTTTTCACTTATTCATGATCCAGTTTTTGAGATAATTCAATATTCTTGCCTCTTGAGACAAGCGCCCGGCCAGTGTGGCTCAGTTGGTTGGAGCATCGTCCAGAACAACAAAAAGTTGGTGATTTAACTCCTGGTCAGGGCACATACCCAGGTTGTGACTTTGATGCCCAGTCGGGCCACGTGCGGAAGGCAATCAATTGATGTTTCTCTCTTAAAAAAAAAAAAATAAAAAAAAAATGAGAGAACTTTATGGCAAAAAAGATTAACACCAAAATTTTTGTTGCCAGTTTTATACTTGGTAAGAAAATTTTTTTTTATATAATTCATATATTTTCATGTAACTCCTTTGGTATAACTACATTAAATGATTTTTTACTGGGAGAAAAAAACAAAAAAAGCAACATAAAAATGCTAATAAAACAAATGTCAAAAATTTATCCTATCAAAAAAGAAAAAGTATTGGTATGAGATTTGGGAGAAGAGCAAGATGCCCCCTCATAGTCCCGGATTGCAATAAATATGACTCTTTAATTCGAAAAAAAAAGAAAAAAAAGAAAAGAAAAAGTACTTTTAAAGAAGCTAGGTTATTGACTTCCAGTCAAAATAGCAGAGTAGGTAGGTGAACATTGTCCACCCCCTCCCACGACTACATCAAAATTACAACTAAACTATAGAACCACCGTCATTCAGAACCACCTGAAACCTAGCTGAACAAGTCCTACAACTAAGGACGGACGAAAACAGCCACATGGAGACCGGCAGGACAACTGAGGCTGCGCACGGGGCTGGCGGATAAAAGCCAGGATGGTGCCTCAGCTGCAGAGGTCCCCGCTGAGGACGAGGCCCCGCTGGGCCGGGCCAGGGCTCTAATGCCAGTAGAGAAGTCCAAGGTGTGAAACCCAGCAGACGTGGCTGAGTGAGACCAGCACTGCTGCAGTCCCAGGTGTTGCTCTGTAAGGGCCCGCACATCTATTTCCTCGCTGACAGACTCACTTGTTCTGAGCTCCAGAGCTGGGGCAGAGGCACAAAGGCTCCAGAGACATAGAGCCCACACCAAGACACATCCTAATGAAAGCACCAAGGGTTAGAGACAGAGAGACTCTTAAAAGCAGCAAGAGAAAAGCAGTTAGTTACCTATAAGGGAGCTCCCATAAGATGGTCAGCTGATTTATCAACAGAAACTTTGTGCCCAGAAGCAGTTGCTATGAAATAATCCAAGTGATGAAAAACAAGGACCTACCAGCAAGACTACTTTACCCAGCAAAGCTTTCTTTCAGAATTGAAGAACAGATAAAGAGCTTCCCAGACAAGGAAAACCTAAAGGAGTTCATTACTATCAAACCAGTATTACAAGAAATGTAAAAGAATTGCTTTAAGAGGAAGAAGAAAAAATATGAATAAAATGGCAATAGCTATACCTATCAATAATTATTTGAAATGTAAATAAATGGATTAAATGCTCCAATCTGAATGGATATTAAAACAAGACTCATACATATGCTACCTACAAGAGGGCCACTTAAGATAGAAAGACACACAGACTGACTAAAGGGATGGAAAAAGATATTTCATTCAAAGGGAAATGAAAAAAAAAAAAAAAAAAAGCTGGGATAGCAATACTTGTATCAGACAAAATAGACTTAATTTTTTTTGTGTGCCAAAGTATCTTTTTTAAAAAATATATATTTTATTGATTTTTTACAGAGAGGAAGAGGGATAGAGAGCTAGAAACATCAATGAGAGAAAAACATCGATCAGCTGCCTCCTGCACACCCCCTACTGGGGATGTGCCCACAACCAAGGTACATGCCCTTGACCAGAATTGAACCTGGGACCCTTCAGTCTGCAGGCCGACGCTCTATCCACTGAGCCAAACTGGTTACGGCCAAAATAGACTTTAAAAACAAAGGCTGTAACAAGATAGGATCCAGTGATTCCACTTCTATTTATCTAAGGAAACCAAAAACAGTAATTCAAAATGACATGTGTATCCCTATGTTCTGCAACATTAATAGCCAAGATATGAAAGTAACCCAAGTGTCCATCAATAGACGAATGGTGAAAGATGTGATACATACATACAAAGGAATTAGCCATAAAAAAGTGAAATCTTGCCATTTACGACAACATGGGTGAACCTTGAGTGTATCCTATATAATAAACGGGTAATATGCAAATTGACCCTAACAGCAGAATGACTTGGTCACTATGACACACACTGACCACCAGGGGGCAGACGCTCAATGCAGGAGTTGCCCCCTGGTGGTCAGTGCGCTCCCACAGGGGGAGCTCTGCTCAGCCACAAGCCAGGCTGATGGCTGCCAGCACAGCAGTGGTGGTGGGAGCCTCTCCTGCCTCCCCACCAGCGCTAAGGATGTCTGACTGCAGCTTAGGCCTGCTCCCCGCTGGCAAGTGGACATCCCCTGAGAGCTCCGGGGCTGCCAGAGGGATGTCTGACTGCCAGCTTAGGCCTGTTCCCCCTGGGGAGCGGGCCTAAGCCAGCAGGTGGACATCCCCCGAGGGGTACCAGACTGTGAGAGGACACAGGCTGGGCTGAGGGACCCCCTGAGTGCACAAATTTTTGTGCACCGGGCCTCTAGTTATGCTAATAAAATGAGTGAGATAAAGAAAGACAAATACCATCTGATTTAATTTAGGTGAATTTGAAAAAACAAACAAAAACAAAACAGAAACAGAATAAACTGATGGTTGTAAGATGGGAGGGGGGAGACAGGTCAAAGAGGGGAAGGGATTAAGATGTACAATTTGCCACTCACTGGGATGTAAAGTACAGCACAGGGGATTCGGTCAGTAAGACTATAATACTGTATGGTGTCAGATGATTACTAGACTTATTGTGGTGATCACTTCCTAAGTCATAGAAATGCCTAATCACTATATTGTACAACTGAAACTAATCTAATATTGTATATCAACCTTAACTGAAAAAAAAAGTTATTTTTTTAAAAAAGAAGCTGTTATGAAGATTAGTGTAGGATTACCCTCCAACCCCTTATTACCTTAAGCATTTGCATGGTGGCACCTCGGAAAGCTATCGGAGATAAGAGAGTTGGTGGAAGTCCTGCCTGTGGACCTGAAGTAGCAATTAAGCTCTTACAGTTGATCAAAAAATTTAGCAACGTAAAGGTGTTTGTTCCCTTCACCAACACAACAGACTCAGGTCTGTGGTCCATTTGTACTTCATGTTTCTCCTTACGCCTGAAGATGACAATCAAGGAAACTGCAAGTAGAAATCCCATGCCAACAGGAAAAGCAGTTATCTTGATTCTGAATCACCTGGGACCCCTTTCCCAATTCCAAACTGGAAATGCTCGTTATCATGTCTTCACTGCAGTTAGAAGGCACCTGTTTAAATCAAAATGACTTGACTTTAATCTGCATTTGCTAGAAATTGACACCGAACAAAACTTTCTTCGCTAGTCAAAAATATATTCTGTCCCCCCCACAAACTTCAACAAAATGGAATGTTTGCTCTTTTTAAAATATAGCTTCTTAGTTTATTGGTACTTAGGGTTTTGTTATTTAGTGTCATGATGGTGAATTAATTTTAGTATGATCTTAAGACAATTTAAGATTATGGTCAGGCAGGCTAGTGTGGTTCAGTGGTTGAGCATCAACCCATGAACCAGGTCACCAGTTGGATTACTGGTCTGGGCACTTGCCCAGGTTGTGGGATCGATTTTCAGTGGGGGGAGTGCAGGAGGCATCCGGTTGATATTTCTCTCTCATCGATGTTTCTCTCTCCCCCTTCACTTCTTCTCTCTCTAAAATCAATAAAAACATATTAAAACAAAACACTGTGGTCAAATAAAACTGCCAGTCAATATTCCATTGCTCACTAACTTAATTCAATGAAAATCAATTCTAGTTAACAGCAAATGAAAGGATACAGCTTGATAGAGAGTATGTCTGGCTTTTTAATTTTATCTTGCACACCCATCTCTTCCAGCCAGGAAAAACTTTCTTCTTCATCTTCATCACTGATTGCTTGCTCCCTAAAAAATCGCTATAGTTAGATTTCCCATTTCATAAAGCTGTTTCCTCTACAAAACTACTGCACCGAGGCGATAGCCACTGGATGACATGAAAGGTTATTTTCATCACATACTCCGCATGTCCCAAGCTTGTCCCAGATGCTGTCTTCTTCTCATGGCCACTTTCTTTTACTAAAGGCAGAGAAAATTCAATACCTACATGAGAAAAAGAAAAATAACTGAGTTTCTTTACTATACTAGTAATATAAAAGAATTTAACAGGTATGCCTTACTTTTAGAGAGTCCGAAATTTGAAAATGTGAGTCTTTTTATTTGATTTATTAAGGCAGTAGCTTTCAAACTTTATTTTTTCTTTTTCAATTAGTTTACATTCAGTATTACCTTGTATTAGCAGCCCATAACACACCCATACAGACCCATATCAACTTGAAACAAAAGGTTCAGGAAACAATACATTCTTACTACATGTAGTATTCTTTCATAAAGTATATACTACTTGTTATTTCATTTTTTTAAAATGCTGATTAAACCCAGTAAATATGTCTTTTGTCCACTCATGGGTTGACCCAATTTGAAAACTGTTGTTAAAAGGGGTAGGTGATTTGTACTGTGAGGAATTTGAAGAAGTGTATATTCAGACAGGGACTTTCCAACCCAGTATGTGTTTAGAGATCCGTGAAAGGAAGATCATTAACTTAAAGCAATGTATAAGGAACAGCTTAAATAACTGCTATAAAAAGAATCAGAAAGAAATAAAATATTTAATATAGTTAAGCCCAGCCAGTGTGTCAACCTATGAACCAGGAAGTCACGGTTTGATTCCCGGTCAGGGCACATACTTGGGTTATGGGCCCGTTTTCCCAGTGGTGGGTGTGTAGGAGGCAGCCGATCAATGATTCTCTCATCATTGATGTTTCTCTCTCTCTCTCTGAAATCAATAAAAATATGTTTTAAAAAATAATATAGCTAAAACTAATAAAAGACAATTCAACTGACAAAGGGTATTTTTAACTTTCAAGAAAAGAGTTTACTATATAGTGTGGTATTCTTATTTTAAACTATAATTTTACCTTCATTTTTCATAGCTTCTCTTATGCCTCTAGTTGTAGGAGACATGAGAGCCGTGATTACATCATTTCCTGCTAATCCTGATGCACGAAACAGGATAGTAAATTGATAGGTACAAACGTAGAAATAGGGGCAAAGTTTTGTCTTCAGAAGATTATACAAAGACGTGAAGCTCACAGACCTATGAAGCAAATTTTCTTTAGTTAATTAAACATTTAACTTCACATCTAAAATATTGTATAATTCAGCTTGATATTCACCCTGATTTGAAACACAACATAAATATTACAGATAATGGTTTTCATTTTTGCCGTTACATACAACTTGGCTTTTAAAGAACTGAATCTGGTCATGGGACTCACTGATAACTCCTACATATTTAAACAGTGTTTACCATTTAAACACTAACCACTGTTTTCTTTAAATAAAATTTAATTGGTAACTTGTTGGTAATTATCTTTGTGCAGCTTCCGGTGAGAACGGAAGCTGTCCTGACAAGAATCTTAAAGAATTATGTTTATGTGTATTTACCAAACATTTAAATGAATTTCACAATTGCATAAAGAGTGAATAAGAGCTAAGAAGTAAACAATTTAAATGTTGGTTATTAACAGTTCCAATAAAATCATTCAGGAGGAAGAGCGATCTTTCTACCACTAAATGTTTCCACATAATGAATAAAACAAGAAGAGAATACCGCTAAAATGAAAATTCACTATTGGATCACACAAGTTTTTACAAATCTTACCAGTCACTCATTAGAATGCGTTGTAGGGATTCATCATTCGACCAAGGGCTTGTCTTTGCGGACATTTTCCGGTCGGCTCCAATCCGAGGGAACAGGGAGAGCCAGGGAAAGGCGGGGTGGAGCCAGTAGACAAGGCTCTGCTGGAAAGCACAGCGCAGCTCAGTGCAGAGCTTGGGGTCCTGAAGTCCAGGCAGCGCACAGGTTTGAGCCACAGAAAGAGAAACTTTTATTAAAAAGACACTGAATATACCAAACCCTTATCTTCATTGCTTCCTATAGTAAAGTGTTCATAACTGTTACAGGGGCTACAGTGTAGTTTATTCTGATTTGGGAGAACCTTTCTTGTCAGCAATTATAGTCCATCCAGCCATACATCACAGGGAACACTTAAACATAGATGGGGACCTTCTCCTGTCTCTACCATCCTCCAGAAAAATGACTTCTCTTTTTTATCAGGAGGGCAGGGACTGTGTGCGTGCGTGCATGTAGGTAATAACACATTCAACCGCGCCCCCCGCCCCCCCCCCCCCCCGGCCCGTCCCGGGCTCTATTTAAAAAGTAGCCAGTGCCCTAGCCAGTTTGGATCAATGGATAGAGCTGAAGGGTCCCGGGTTTGATTCTGGGCAAGGGCACAATCTTGGTTGCAGGGTTGATCCCCGTGTGGGAGTCAACCAATCAACGTGTCTCTCTCACATCAGTGTTTCTCTGTCTCTCCCTCTCTACTCTCTTTAAAAATCAATGGGCCCTAACCAGTTTGGCTCAGTGGATGGAGCGTCGGCCTGCAGACTGAGGGGTCCTGGGTTCGATTCTGGCCAAGGGCATGTACCTTGGTTGTGGGTGCATCCCCAGTGGGAGATGTGCAGGAGGCAGCTGATTGATGTTTCTCTCTCATCGATGTTTCTAACTCTCTATCCCTCTCCCTTCCTCTCTGTAAAAAAATCAATAAAATATACTTTTAAAAAAAATAAAAATCAATGGAAAAATATCCTCAGGTGAGGATTAACAACAACAACAAAAAAAAAAAAAGAAAAGAAAAAAGAAAAAAAAGTAGTAGCCAGTAAAAACTGGTAACCCGAATCCCAAATCACCCTTACCAATTTATTAAAAATGAGGTACCAAGGTCTCTTTTAGGTAATCCTCTTTAACCTAGTTTAAGTTGATAAGCTGCTTCAAAGTAATACTATTGCATTTCTCTGAAAACATTCTAGAATTTATCAACTCTAGTAAATTGACAAGACACCATCATTCAGGTAGCATGAGGTAGTGCCTTTAAAAGAGTGCACATTTTGTGAGAAAATGAGTAAAGTAACCAGTCTGCCTTTGTAACCCTATTCCTCCATTGCTTTTCATGCATTTTCCTTATATTTTCTTTCTCAAGAGCCTTAGAAAAGAATGGCTTAGTTCAAGTAATGCCTCCCTGCAACACCGACCGTTTCTCAGGACAGGCCTCTAAATTGAATGGCAGTCACCGAGTCTGATGAAAACTATATAAAAGCACCACTTTGGCAATACAAAATCTCCACGTGTTTATGTCAAAAGAAAAACTTACTGGAAGGAAGTCTCTCTGGCATTTTTGCAGAGAAGTAAAATTTACACTGAATTTGTTACTTTAAAACATAGCTCTTGCCCTAGCCGGTTTGGCTCAGTGGATAGAGCGTCGGACTGCGGACTGAAGGGTCCCGGGTTCGATTCCGGTCGGGGGCATGTGCCTTGGTTGCGGGCACATCCCCGGTGGGAGGTGTGCAGGAGGCAGCTGATGGATGTTTCTCTCTCATCGATGTTTCTAGCTTTCTGTCCCTCTCCCTTTCTCTCTGTAAAAAATCAATAAAATATATTTAAAAAAAAAACAAACCAAAAAAACATAGCTCTTTTCTTTCAGAATTACCTGTATGCTTTGAGGCAGAGTTACTTCTGTTGCTCTGCAATGCTGGACGACACCCTGAGCCTCTTCCTGTGCTTTCAAATGATCTGCCCAGGTAAAGGGTTGAGAAGAGGTGAAAAGGAGTCGAGTTTTAATACTCCAGTCCACAGGTAACTCTGTACTTTCTGGGGAAGGCTTATCAGATTCGGAGAATGATCTGTGTGAAATCTTTTAGAAAACAAAGAACACAAAAATTAGTAGAGTAGCAAGGAAGAAACCTTCAGTCTACAGATTTCATGAACATACACATGATGGCTGAAATGTCGAAATTTTAGAGAACGTGTAATAAGTAGCATAGGTAATATACTACACACCATGAGAAAGTCTGTGAACAGCAGTTATCTCTGGGAAGGAGGAATTTTTTGGAGGTGGTGGTGGTAGAGAGACAGATTTCACTTTTCAGTGTAGATAGTTCTATACAGTTTAGTTACAAAAGGCATGTGCTGCCCAGCCGTTGGCTCGGTGGTTGAGCGGTCACCTATGAATGGGGAGGTCGCTGGTGCAGTTCCGTCAGGGGATGAGCCTGGGTGGTGGGCTCCATCCCCAGTGTGGGGCGTGCAGGAAGCAGCCAACTGATGAACTTTCTTTCTCATCAGTGTTTCTATCTCTCTATCCCTATCACTTCCTCTCTCTAAAAATCATTGAAAAAAAATATACAAAAAGACATGTTATTCTCATGATCACAATTAAAGAAATAAAAACGATTACGAATGTTGCTATCAAAGCAGAAATCTTCCAGGTATTTTACAAACACCCTCTAAGCCACTCAAACTCTGAACCCGGGGCTAAGCTGCCCTTGGCTATGGAGACACGTGGAACAATATTCTCACATCACATCACGACTTTCTCAGGTGACGTCACAAACACAGCAGGAGAGGGACATTTGCAGTAGATCCTGGGAAGGCCCTTTCTGTACCAGGAAGGGAGACTGGTCCCGGGGGCGAGCTCGCTGTCTCAGGACCACTGTGCCCTGGTGGGACCATCACAGCACAAGGATGGGGGGAGTGGAAGCGGGCTTGTGCGTGAGTGTGCGTGTATGTGCGTGTGTGCATGTGCATGTGTGTGTGCGTGTATGTGCGTGTGTATGTGTGTGTGCATGTGCGTGTATGTGCATGTGCATGCATGTGGGTGTGGAGGGTGGCAGTGGTGAGGGTGTCAGCCAGCCCCCAGTGGCACCGCATCCTGGGGGGTAACGTGGGGACGTGAAGACTCAGTGAAAAGCTAAGTTCCCGCGGTGGGCGGTAATCCGCAGGGGGAGGGGGGAGGTCTGCGGGGCCAGGCGCCACTCGCGACCTCCGCCCCGCGGTGTTCACCTTTGCCCCCGTGGGGTCCCT